GTTCTGCTAGGGGTATGTCAAATATTAGGGACCTCTGAGTCTGGAGCACTGTCTACGTATGGGCAAGGTGAGTCACTTCCTGTCTCCCTTCACAGCCCCAGGTCAATTGAGGTATGAAATTCCAGAAGTGTAGAAATCCAAGCTTATCCTGGGAATTCTAAAATTGATTAGAGGTGTCTTTTTGTGCCTAGAATTTCTAACGGAGTGCACATGTGATTTTCAGTTTGGATCACTTTTAAATGTTCTGCTTCAACATATTATGAACAACGTAAATGAATACATACATGTAGTGGCTTCAAAATGAATCAAACAAAACACGATACATGAATTACTGTTCCCAGGAAATTATCACTTTCCATTCATTTCTTAAGATAATCAGTACATGGAGGGGATGGCTGGGTTGGTAATTAACACAGAGTCAGTTCTTGACTGGCTTCCTTGAGGTGTGATGACACAGCTGGAAACTGAATCTTGAGTGTGGCAGTGGGCAAGCAATCTTTGGCCATTAGTACTGGATTCTTACCTTCTTCTTCATCCTTACCTAAACATAAAGTGAGTATCTTTATTGCCTGGTTCCCTCTATTTACTTGCCATTACTTTCTGCAGCTTTTGAAATGGCTCAGTCAACTTTTACACTGTTTTGGTTGCTAGTGCAGTTAGGCATATAGTGAAGACAAAGTATCTTGCATCCAACGTTCGGCAATTCATGGCTGTCTCACCTGAACTTGATAAATGCCCAGATCACCCAAAATAGGCTCAGTTTGGCTTGGGGTCATGGTCAACCCTGCTGGATAGACTAAAGGACTCAGTAAAAGGCAGCTTCTCAAGTTCTTGCATTCCTTTTCTCTCTGAACTCCATCATCTCCACAGGAGATGTTCAGGGATTCTTGGGAAGATAGGTGGCATCCCTTTGGATGCAGGAGAAGATGAGTAAGGGGGCATGTAGGCATTCAAGTGGTTGGATATCATCTACAGTTTCTTGCATACACATAAGCCCAGTTCATTTACACCTCATGCTGGATATCAAGAACATAAATGGTAAGACAATCTCTATTGTTATTTTCATCATTTTGTTATTTTGATCACTTCAGTTAACTTCCTTTCTTAAAAAACCACAGGCAAATTACCATGCTAACAATTCTACAGATTCTAAATACAGAAATGACAAACTCTACTGTTCTTTACATCTTTCTCCGTATCAGCTGCTCTCTGTTATTCAGCTCAGGCCTCACCACAATAATGTAGCATTTAGGGGAAAAGATGCAACCCAGCAGCCCAGCACTGGAAGCCAAGATGGAGAAGATCTCCACAGCCACCATGTATTTTCCTCTGGTGCTCAGGTATGTGGGAATAAAGGAGAACCAAACACTGCAAAAGACCAGCATGCTGAAGGTGATGAACTTGGCTTCATTGAAGCTGTCCGGCAACTTCCTGGCTAAGAAGGCCACAGTGAAGCTGATAATGGCCAGGAAGCCCATGTAGCCCAAAATGCAATAGAACATGAGAACTGACCCTTCATTACATAAGAATATAATTTCTTCAGTCATTGAGTGCATGTCCACATCCGGGAATGGGGCCGAGGTTGCTAGCCAGAAGACACAGAGTCCCACTTGAACAATGGAGCCGGAAAGGACGATGGAGTAAGCCAGTTTTTTGCCTACCCATTTCCTGACTGTGGAATCTGGCTTGGTAGCCATGAATGCCAAAACCACTGAAATAGTCTTGGCCAAGATGCTGGAGAGGGCCACAGAGAAGACAATGCCAAAAGCTGTTTGTCGGAGTGGGCAGGTTGCCTTATTAGGCATTCCAATGAACATCAAGGAGCAGAGGAAACACAAGAGGAGGGAGATGAGGAGAATGTAAGCGAGGCTTCTGTTATTGGCTTTGACGATGGCAGTGTCCCGGTGCTTAATGAAAATGCCAAGTACCATAGCTGTAATCAGAGAGAATAAAAGCACAGAGAAAGTTGAAACCACGGCCAAAGTTTCACCAAAGCCTAGGACGTTTGGTTTCTTGGGAATGCACTGATCCTGCTCTTCATTTGGATATTGATCCGGAGGACATCTGGCACAGGTTTCCAATCCTGAAAAAAGGTGATATAACCATTGGAAACAACTCAAATAAGCTTGTGAGGTTTTGTTTTGTTTTGTTTTGTTTTTACACAAGTCCCCTTATGATAGTGTTTGCATGAGGAAAAGTTTCAAAACTTTTTGCCCAAATGCTTGTGTCCTTTTTTAAAAAAATAATATTTATTAAAAGTTTAAGAATTAAAGAATAAGAGAAAGAAATAAACAGTACAAATCAACACATTACAATACATATACATAAAATAGCAAAGCATAAAAAACACAATACATCAAAACAAAAACAATTAAAAACATATCCAATATTTCCATATCATTATCTTTCATTAACTTGTTTCATCGACCTCCTCACACCTCCCTTTTTGTATTATAGTTATTAATTGTTTCAGCAAATCCTTTGCATCTTTCACTATTTTCTATCATATAATTATCATAATTTATTTTAATCTTATCTTACCATTAATACCCTAAAACCTATTTATACTTAACTCCTTATAACATTTCTACTAAAGCCATATAATTTCATTCCAACATTTTTCTAACACTCATTAATTTTACATTTCTCGAAATAAAATTAAATTAAAATTCCAATCCTCTTCCACCGTCTCCTCTCCCTGGTTTCGGATTCTGTCAGCCCTTTCTATCAATATCATATAGTCCATTAACCTGGTGACCTTCTGTCCGAGGCTCTTAATTCTCTTCCCTGTCCCTTCTGCAGATCTTCTTCATATATATCCATGCACATTACTTTGTCTTCTGCTGATCTTGGTCTTAATTTCCTTCCTTTGGCGCTGAGGAGTAGATCTCGGGGGAGCTCCAACCTAGCAATGTCTTTATTCCTTCTCAACAGGTCAGCCCATTCTCCATAGTCAGAACTAAAGTCCAAAAGATATTTTAGAGCGCCACTCTCCCCCTGACCCAAATCCAAATCCCAAAGGCCAAAGCATCCCTGCATAGGAGGATGTATCCAACTTTCCTTCTCCAGTCCAAGCAGGGTTTCATCCCACCAAATCTGACTTTCTCTAGATTCAATCATAAAAGGCAACAGCTTATTTTCATCAAATTGCCTCTGGGAGGCCGGGGCTCCCTCCACTTGAATTACTTGAGATTCAACAACAACTTTCTCCTTCATCTTCTCCACAGCTTGCCATGTCAAAACAGATTCCTGGGTCAATTCCTGAGTAATTTCTGTATACGTATTCCCTTTTTGTCCCAACTCAGCCGTCCCCCCCCCCCAAGTTGTCAATTTTAGTAATCTTCACATCCGTCTTCTCATGAAGCTGTTCCAGTAAAGCACTTGTTTTGCAAAATGCAATCACTAGGGCTTCTTCTGTCAACATTCTTGTCCAAGGTCAAACTCTAGTTCTCATACTCTTTAATCTCTGCAACTGGAAAATTCCCCGGATCCACTCCTGCAACAGTTCCAAAAGCTCCCTCTAAAGGAAACAATTTCTATTTGTATCCATCCTTTTAAGCACAGATCCAGCCACCGAGCTAGTTTCAATTTTCAGTTACTTCCCCCCTCCTTTTTAAATGTAAAAGGAAACAATTGAAACAATGTATTACTCTTATTTAACTATCTGTCAACATCATTTTGTTCTCAGTCAATGAAGCATTAATCTTACTGACAGTCCATTCCCAGGTTCGGAACGGTGATGATTTATCTTTCTCTCTCCTGCAGGCTTAAACAATAGAATTTCCCCCCTCTTCTCCTGCTTCCAAGGGGGGGTTTAGTTATTTGAACCGATGGAGATTTAATCCTTTACAGAAAACTTTCCAGGCTTTAGCTTGCAACATCTTTGCTTTACTCTGTTTACAAGAAAGGAAGGTGGACTTCCTGTTTGAGACCTTCCCGTTTCGATGCCAAATTAAAAAGTTTAGAAATCCAATTTTCCGTTCTACTCACGGGTAGTTGTTTAGAGTCCAATTGTCCACAGGAAAAAGTCAGCGCTCTCCGGCAACAGCAATGCGGCTTCACTCCGTGAAAGAAGCAGTCAATTCAAAGCACTGCGCCGCTCACCCCACATCGCTCCGGATCCCCGAAACGGGGTCTCCCCGCGAGTAGGGGGGCGCAAAAGGTGCCAGCCGAATCCCACGTCCACAGGCTTCTGCCGCCTGTGGCTTTTAATGGGTCTCCGCCTCGCCATGGCGGTTCAGACCCTGTTTTCCACGGAGCGGATTCCTCCCGATCAGAGGAAATCCGCCATTGCCAGAGGCGCCAACCCGGAAGTCTCAAAATGCTTGTGTCCTAAATGCTTTGAAGATAAGGTCCCCAAAGAGCTTTCTTCTTAGAGAAAAAACTACCACTTCTATTGCATCCCCCTTCCCCCAAAACTATAGTTTCTTCCATGTAAAATTTTTACATCTTGTTGCATCAAAACAGAGCGGGCGGACATACAATCATGGTTTAAATTGTTAAAATGTGTTATTAAGATGTGGCAGTACAGCAGTGTGCCACTTGCAATAGGAAACTGCATTAAACAATTTAGAATTTGTGTGGATACAATGTTGGAAAACCTTTACATTACAGATCAAGCTCACATCCTCATGGTATACTCCCTAGAAGGTTAAGATAATTTCTTCATAGTGGCAGCTTTTACCGAGACTGAAGTGAAATCATTCTACTATTCTTCATAAACAATATAAATTGGTATCAGACAGAGCAAACCCCACTTCCAATTTGATCAGAATATGTTAAAATAACTTGTATATGGTACTATGACATCTCTCACCCTTTTCATCTGAGAACATCCCACGAGGACATGGATCACAATCATAACAACAAAACTTCTTCCCCTCCTTCTTTTTCTTCTCATAACCAGGAAGGCAGTTGGCATTACATAAGGAAAGGGGTGGCACCTATCCAAAGGGACACAAAGGGGTTAATATTAAGAAAATGTTTTAGGGGATTCATCTAACATTAGGTGATCTACCAGTAAGTAGGAGGGCCAGAAATGTTAATGTGCCAAAGCAGCACATACAGTGCGATAAAAAGCTACAGTTCTAAGCATCATACAAACACAAGAAGATTACAATTTTTCATATCTAGATTGATTAATGCTGCAACCATCACATAATTCAATCTAATACTACTATTGGTTATTTGTTTTGATGGAATTGCAGCCTCATGCCCTTTGCTTTAGGAAATTCACTTGATGTCCCTTTAGTGAGGTTCAAGGTCTTGGGATTTGGAAGTAGTGAAATATTGTGGTTCTGCTCATATTTGGACGGCCCCTACCACTTATACCATTGGAATAAAGTGAAGATGAAGTGAAGATGGTGGGCAGATGTATTGGGGTTGTGATGGACTGGCTTTATAAAACCAGCTTTATAAAAAGACAGGGGACTACAATACAATGTGTACATATAATAAGTTGGAACTTTTTGTTCTCTACAAAATCAATTTATAAATTCTGGTGGCATTTTTCAAAAAGAAATATTTCCAACATTTCCCCCAATGATTCTCAATATATGAAAAAAGAATCTCTTCATCCTTCATATACAAGGAAATGGGCATGGTATTTAGCAAATATTGGTTTAACAATTCTGAAAGCAAAATGGATGTGGGCATTAAAATATTCCAAAAATGCTTATCCATGTGAACCTGAAAGAGGACTATCTTAAGTCAATATTCCAATGGTACTTTACTTTATACAGAATTTATTTATGTATTTATTTTGAGAAAACAGGCATTGTTCAAGGCATAACGGAATTAAGGCAGATCTAATAAATATCTTTTAAAATAATAATTCCTTTCTGGACCAAAGTACTGAAGATTTCTCCTTCATAAGTCAGCTGTGGTTGAGCTTTTCACAGTGCTGTTTTTCTTTACCAATATATATCCTGAAAGCAAGAGCAATCATACTGCCATCTTTAGTTCCAGTATAACTGAGATCTGCTTTTGAGGATATTGATGCCTTCAATGCAGTGGTGTACCTAGGCTCCCTTGTGCGTTGGCAAGGAGATATATCAGTGCCTCCAAAGTTGGGAGGGACCATGGAAAAGAAACTCAAAAAGTTTGTTTTTTGTCACCTTTTGTGCTCCTTCGGTCACTTTCTCCTTGGCCATCGGTTCTGCCTCCTGCCCTCCTTGGTCGGTCTGCCTGCCTTCTTTCCTGCATCCCCCCTTCACTCACCACCTTCCTTCCTTCCTTCCTTCCTTCCTTCCTTCCTTCCTTCCTTCCTTCCTTCCTTCCTTCCTCTTTCCCTCTCTTTTCTTCCCCCCAAGCCCTGCTTGGCACTCCGCTCACACTTATGATAGTTCCACTGGCCAACTGGGGATGCGGAGCCGCACAGCTGCTCTGATGGCCAACGCCAGCAGCTGGATTCCTCCACTGAGGCACAGAGAGAATCCTTCATGCCTTGCCCAGCAGCCCATGGGGTACATGGATGGGCAGCTGGGCTCCAAGACACTCCGAGGAAGGCATTTTGTGGTCTCCTCCTGGGCTTGGGCCCGTGGCTGAAGCCAATCTGACAAACACCTTCATCCACCCCTACTTCTATGATTCCAACTCAACACTACAGTCTCAAGCAGCAAAAGAAAAATTCATGAAGTCTTTTGTGCATATTGCTGTTTTTATGAATGTGGTTCATTTGTTTACTTATTCATAAAATTATTAGTAGCAGCATTATTAATAGTGGCAGCAGAAGTTGGGCAGCACTTCCCTTTTCACCTCATGTGGCAAAACTACACTCTCTCCCACTTGTGTGCAGTGATTTCCTTACCTGGGTGAAGACTCTGTGCCATTGGATTCTGTCCCCATTAATGGTGAGCTCTTTGCCAGGAGGGGCCTGAGGATCCAGTCTTCCAACTTTGACCCTGACATAGGAATTATTTGGGAAAGTGACCAGGTTCGTAATATCAAAGCCAGCTGCTAATTCTCCATGTTCATTTAATGTGATTTCATCCCCAGCACTGTTGTTGAATGAGATTCTCTGCAGCAATGAGTGGAGCTAGGTGGAAAGAGAATCAGAAGTCATCCTGTTTGGGTGTGAACATCCTGTTTGGGTGTCTGAAGGCGGTTATGGGGTGGATAGTGGCTAATGGATTGAGATTCAATTCCAGCAATACAGAAGTAGTGTTTCTGGGGACAGGGGGCAGGTAGGTGTGGGGGGGATTCCCTAGCCCTGAATGGTGTAACTGTGGCCTTAAAGGACCAGATGTGCAGCCTGGGAGCCATTTTGGACTCACAGATGTTTATGAAGGTGCAAGTCAATTCTGTGTCCAGGGCAGCTGTCTACCAGCTCTATCTGGTATTCCAGCTGAGACCCTACCTACCTGCCTGTGCACTGTCTCACCAGAGTGGAACATGCTCTGGTTATCTCCCGCTTGGAGTATTTCAGTGCACTTTATGTGGGGCTACCTTTGAAGTTGACTCAGAAACTAAAACTAATCCAAAACACAGCTGCCAGACTGGTGACTGAGAGTGGCTGCCAGGACCATATAACACTGATCTTAAAGGAACTACATTGGCTCCCAGTATGTTTCCAAGTAAAATGCAAAGTGTTGATGCTGACCTTTATAGCCCTTATCGTCTTTGCTCCTATATACCCGAAGGAGCATCTGCACCCCTGTCATTCAGCCCAGATGCTGAATGCAGAAAGTGTGGTTACACTGAGCCACCTGCCCTGCTGAAAGCCCTCCCATCAGATGTCTAGGAAACGAATAACAACCTGACTTTTAGAAGACATCTGAAGGGAGCCCTGTATAGGGAAGTTTTAAATGCTTCATGTCTTGCGTTTTGTTTTGACAGAGACTTCCCAGAGCGGCTGGGGTACCCCAATCAGATGAGCAGCTGTAGTCAAACAGCCTGGCACTGGCACCATCACTGCATGGCCCTGGGTTCCCAGGCACCCACAACATTTTTAATGATGGGGCCAGGAGCCCTCAATATTCTGCAGCCGGCAGGGCTCTGGTGGGCCCTCCTGCTGTTGTGATGGGCTCCATCACTACCTCCTGCTGCAGCAGTGGGTGATGGAGCCCCTTACAGACCCTTTGGGAGAAGCCTTAGAGAACCCTCTGAAAGGCCCGGATGGGCCCGCCTGGGTGCCTCCAAATCTGTAACCTCACATGTAGCACATGACATCACACATGCGCACTAGACCCCCTCAATGTGGGTTGAAACATAGTGTACCTGGCCACAAGGGTCATTTCAGGCAGCTTGAGATACACTCTCAAGTGGCTGAGGCATCCCAGCCAGAGGAGTGGTGCATATAAATAATAATAATAAAATATCAAACATTAAATACTTCCCAATACAGGGCAGCATTCAGATGTCTTCTAAAAGTTTTGTAGTTCTTTATCTCCTTGACATCTGAAGCGAGGGCGTTCCACAGGGAGGCGTCACTACAAAGAAGGCTCTCTGTCTGGTTCCTGGTATATATTTCATTAATGTATAGTACAATGAAGAAATTATGACATTTCTAGCAGCATGTGTATGTGTGTCATAATTTCTACATTGTACTATACTTTAATGAAATTAAATATATCTCCCCTCCAACTAAATCTTGGTCATTTTTGCATGGTAAAATCACCAATTTTATGGTCTATTTTCCAGTATACTTAAAATCCTTTGCTTAGTCTGGGCTACCCCACATTTTCTTCAAAACATTGCTTTGCACAGTAACTACCATAGAGTTATCAAAATTTTCAGAAGGAAATTAGGAACCACTGGTCTAATTAAATGCCAGTAGAAATATTGGAACAGTGCCAGTTGTAAATGTTTAAATTTTTAGAAAAATTATTAACTTGTCAAGTAGTTGCTGCTTGTGTGTCACTTATGAAAGTCTGTATAATCTAAAGTCTGCTTAGTATAATTATAGGAAATGAAATAATATAAAGTTAATCTTTGAAGTATTTATTACTTTAATTATTTACTTATAGATGAATGCCAACTCACATTATATTATCAACACAGTGCAGAACACTGAACACTTTGCAAGATGAACACTTTATAAGAGGAAACATTACCTGCCAAGGCTCTACATTCTGAGAAGAGAGGCTGTCTCCACCTTTTGTCCTTTTGCTGATGGCTTCAGAGGAGTACCTAATATGTAAGGCATGTGCCAGAGCATAGACAGCATTATAGATACTGTAGCTGTGGCCGGTCATGCTCATTTCAAAAAATGGTGAAGGAAGGCTCTCCAGCAACTCTTCTCCAGTACATGTGTCTTCTGACGCTGTGGAATTTGAAAGTGAACAACTGAATGCTTGTCCCCAGAAATCGTTGATAAAACCATCTGCATCTGCCCAGGAAGGCTTTACACTCCTTAGGAATTCTGAAAAGTCTTGAATCTCATTGGAGTGAATCGCAGACGAGATAGCACCATGGAACATTTGTACATTAATTTCAATAATTTTTTTAAAAGCATATAATATGAAATCAATTTGGGCTGTTGTAATCCATACTTTTCCTCCAGGTTGCTTCCTCTTAGATGGAGGCAATATCAGCTGAATCATATTCCTTACTTCTATAGTACTTGATAGCCATAAAATAGATGTACTTTCTCCATATATAACAACTGCATTAGCTTTGCTTGACATGAAAACTGGGGTCAAAAGCCTTGTTTCACCCACCATATGAAGTATGTTACCAGTGAAATGCAGATTGTATTCTATTTTTTCAGTGAATTCTGAACAGATTCCATTCTGGAAAAGCATTGGTTCAATGATCTGCAAGAAATGTTCTCCAGCTTCATTATTTGGAGTGATGAGCCCGACCCATTTCCATCCAAAATGCAGAAGTAACTGGATAATTCCCTTGTACTGAAGATCTTCATTGGGGACCATGCGGTAGAAGAAACCACGTTTGATTTGATCATTTGTGGCTGGTTCAAATGAACCATATGAAATCTGAAAAGGAAAGAGCCAAACCTTTCCAAGTGGAAACAAGAATTCACAATGCACCCATTTTCTGAGTATAAATCCTGTATATCCCATATTTACTAATCTTAGTCAGGGCTGACCCCCATTTACATAGAAAATATATTTCTCAAAAACCAAACAAACAATATTGCTCATTTAATTTTGTAGACATTAATTCCTATTGTTATGGGAGTCATCACAGCTGCATACTTGTACAGAAGGATTCTCTCCAAGAACAGGAGAGCTTTTATCCTGCACTGCCTTCAACAATACTCCAAAGTGGAACTGGAGAAATACAAGCAATTGATCATTTGATCTTTTGGTATATAATCTTTATAACACTTGTAGAGAGAGGTTGATGTCATTTCTACTAAGAACTCTTGTGGGAGGATCTCCTGGAAATTCAGAAGATTTCCTAAATATTGTGCATTTTATTTTTATTCGACCACAATAAGCCATAACATATAAAAGATGCAGAGCTACCAAAGGAGCAGAAACAACTATTTATGTATGCGACTACAACAGCACGGATACTATTGGCCCAGAGATGGAAAAAAGATAAAGTCCCGACCAGAGAGGAATGGCTGCTGAAGTTGATGGACTATGCTGAAATGCTGAAATGACGGGAAAATCAGAAGAGAAGAACTTTAAGAAGGAATGGGGAAAAATCATAATGTGTTTAAGTGAACACGGAAAACAACTAAAAATTCTGACGGGATTTGAATAATGCTTGTAATGTATGAAAACCTATGGTAAAAATGGAATACAGTGGTACCTCGGGCTACATACGCTTCAGGTTACATATGCTTCAGGTTACAGACCCCGCTAACCCAGAAATAGTGCTTTGCTTCAGGATGAGAACAGAAATCGTGCTCTGGTGGCGCGGCGGCAGCAGGAGGCCCCATTAGCTAAAGTGATGCTTCAGGTTAAGAACAGTTTCAGGTTAAGAACGGACCTCCGGAACAAATTAAGTACTTAACCCGTGGTACCACTGTGGAGAAAATAAGAGAACAGTTGGGGGGGGGAAGATTGATAATAGTAACCATGGAAGGGCGGGGGGAATGGAAGGATTCAGAAGATCCTAAAGGATAATCCAGCAAAAAATTAAGGCAACTAAAAAGAAGTCTAGTAATGCAGCAGAACAACACCATGTTGGTAAGAATACATCCATCCCCAAATGCCAGAAAAAATAACAAGAAATTTGTTTTCAATAAGCCTCTGAAAGTGGAAAATACTGTGTAAGAAGGTCAAAAGCTTCTGGGAGATGATCTATAATGAGTTAAAGAAAATGCTGAAATATACTTTTGTTAAAAAACCAGAAGCTCTCTTGTTGGAATACTGGATAATGAAATTAGTAAAAAAGATGTGAAATTAGTTTTGTATGCAGTAACAGCAGCCAGAATTTTGCTGGCACAGAAATGGAAACAGGAAGAGATGCCCACAAAAGAAGAATGGAGGATGAAACTGATGGAATACGCAGAAATGGACAGATTGACGGGGAGAATTAGGAACCAATGTGACCAGAGATTCTCCGAGGACTGGAAGAAATTTACAGAGTATATAAAAAATTTCTGTGATGAGCAAGTAACGTTCGTTGGCTTTCAAGAAGCTCTGTAAAATTACTGTTAGAAATATTGTTTAAAAATATGATGTGATTAAGAGTATTTGAGTGCAATATAATATTGGGAAATGTGAGACGAGGATAAAAAATAAACGGAAAAATTATCAGACAAGCTGAGGGAAGTTCTGGAAAAAAAAGGGTTTAAGTTAAAAATGGATGTATAATTTTGTAAAAATGTTTTTTTTATGGAAAATCTAATTAAAAATATTTATTAAAAAAGAAAGAAAGTGGACAATACTGAAGATCATCATACCTATACAGGAAGGTTCCCCATTTATAATATTGGAAGATATCAAAAAAATCTTTCATTAAATATATAATACACACATTCTTTAGAACCTAGGTCCTTTCATGTACCCGGTTGGGTAATAATATTATACTTCCCCCCCAAAAATTCCATAAATTGCAATCCATTTCCCTTTTCCATTTTGCCACTTCAAATTTAGGCATCAACAGATTCCTAGTGGGAGGAGAAAAGAGTGAACTACGGCATGAAATATCAATTTTTCAAAACCCATATTCTACCTGTGGAAACTTGTAAAGACCTAAGATGTCTGCCATGGATGAGGAGGTGTCAGAATTAAGTCCCCCAATGACTCCTACTACATTTTTCTGAATGCCACATATGTAGTTGGGGACAAAGTGATGTGAATTAAAGAGCAAATCCAGAGTGTTTCGGTAGGTCATCCTTGAATCAAAATAGCTATCATACATGTGGAATCCAAGAGTGAAATTGGGCAAGATCTTGGGATTCTCATTGATCTCATCAACAGCAAACACCAAGGCGAGGATGTGTTGGTAGAACTTTCTCATAACCCTGCAAAGAAAATGCCTTACCATTTTATAGGGAATTAAACAGTGCACAACACTTAGATCTGAGGGATACAACTTCCTCAATTAAATCATGTTAGAAATACGAAAATGATTTTGTTTCTATAGAGTTAATGTTTGGATCTCTCTTCCACCCGAATCATTTTTTTTATTTGTCTGAACATGAAGACTGAGAAGTGATCTTCACTTAATAACATTCTGTTTTTCTAACCACGTTGCTTTTTATTACTAGAAACATGTACATTTATTGAAATCATTAAAAAGCCCCTTCATCAGTTGTTGTGCTTAGCAACACAAACTGGTATGAAATGAAGATAATGGAATTGGCAGCTGCCATTTTGGATATGAAGAATGCCGACTGATGATCTGGAAGTGATGATTTTAAAGTGGCTCTCATCCAATTCTTACTCAGTGCATTTAATGCTTATCCCTGATTGATTTCAAAGTGCTTTAGACATAGCTTCTATTTTATACCATCTTTCACTAAAGCAGCTCAAGCTGGGTTTCATAGCTCTCCTCTCTCCCCTTGCTTATGCATGAACGCCCCCAGTGTGTAGCTGGCCAAGTAAATGGAGATTTGAACCCAGATCTCCCCAATGCAAGTCTGCCATGTGATATTACTGTGGGCAGGAGGATCAATGACTAGAGAGCAAGTGGTGGTGATCTGAAACAGAATCAACTCAAACATGGTTCAGGTTTCATTTCTGCACCTGGCACATGGAAGGGAAGGGGCAGTGCTGAAGACGGCTTACTTCTTCACTACAATTGTGTCCACAACTAGCTGTCTGGAAGAGCTTTTCAATGTTGAAGATAGGTTTGTTATGTGGCCAAGAGAACATTTCTCTTATAACTTTAGCAGCCTGCTATTATAACTTTAACAACACTTTAGGGATGGAATAAATCAGATTCGGAGTTGCATGGCATGATTGGAGAGAGTCAAATGGTATACAGAGCACTCTCTGTGTTCCATCTTTGCTGGATTAGTTTAAATTATTGTGCCCTGAGGATGTAGTTACTGTGCTTGAAGATTTGAAGCTGCCAAATGGACCCCTTGACCCTTAACCATCTTGGCTTTTGAAATCTAGCTATATGGAATTGACTGGCAGTGGCAGACTTTGGTACTATGGTGCCCTGGGCAAGGCCAAAATTTTGCACCCACTTAGCCCTTGCATGGCCTTCCCAAAGGCGGGTAAAGCTGTGACCAGATTAAGGAAGGAGACACGAGGCTCGGGTAGGGTCCTTGAGCCCCCACCCCATTCCCAAGGCTGGGAAAGTGCTAACTAAGCTTTGGGAAGTGGGGAGGAGGACTCTAGGATATTGTCAGAGCCCATGCCTCCTTCCCAATGCCCAGCGCCTTGTTTACCAGGTTTTGAGACAGCAGTCCCATGGCTCTGTGCCCAATGCGTGGCCACTTATTGCAGAACCCTAACGCCGCTCCTGTGACTGGGGAGGTCTAGCTTCATTGGAGGATGCTCTGATCAAGGATAAAATAGCATTATAAAATCTTACTATTTGGTTTAATCTTACTTTGGGTTTTAAAGCAAACCAAGTACTTTATTTGTTGTTGTTGTTTAGTCGTTTAGTCGTGTCCGACTCTTCGTGACCCCATGGACCAGAGCACTCCAGATGCACTTATAGTCTCTATAGTACTATAAAGTACTTCATACTCAGATATAAATGTAGAAAGAATAAATGAAATGATCTTAAGAACCATTTACTTACATTGGGCTGTTAATAAAGACCTGAGATGGGTGTTCATCAAAGGAAATGCTGGGCAATATGTATTGGATATGAGACATTATCCCACCAATGATAAGGTCCCCTTGTTCATACCACTCATGTGGAATATGCACAGGATTATTTCCGCTGCAAACAACAGTATGCACTTGGGGCACCATATTGGGAAACAGCAGGAGAAGCAGCAGCAACAGCATCCTGATCACAAATATCCTTCTTCACCCCGACTTTCATACGCCTCTCTACAATATTGTTACTATCATCACACTGACTTGAACAGGATGGATTTGGTGACAGCTGACTCTGTCAATTGTGGATTTCAAGAGGCAGGTCTCCACCTTCTCATTAACTTCAGCACTGTCACAAAAAATTCATTGAATGCTATCATTTGAAATCTAACCAATACAATGAAGAGCATAAGCTGGCCTCACCTCTCCTCCCTTACCTTAGCGCTCTATGGAACACCAGTGTACTTTTAATCATTTCAGATTTAATTTTCATTTCTTATTTTGCATTCTGCCTTTTGGAGTTTTTCCAGGTGAATTGATTACCATAATTTTAATAATTATAGAGGAGATAATTACTTTTGCAATGTTTTTGGGCTCTTTGTTGCATCACCAGTAGGAGAACTGCCAAAGTAAACATATCTGTCACATCACAGAATCAAAGGTTAGGAAGAAGCCTCCAAGGTCATCTTGTCCTATCTGTTTGCTAATGCAGGACACCCAGAATTAAAAACAAACCAAATACCTTGACCAACTACACTCTTCCTGAGGCACCCCTGTGGGGCTCCAAAGCCCAGTTATGTCACCCCTTGCCTGCAGAGCTGGCAGCCTCCCACCCTTTTACAAACACCCTCACGTGTTCCCTCCGCCACCTCGCTTCTGCCCTCTCCTTGGGAGTCCTCTGGGCAGCTGCTGCTGTCTCCCCTGGTCTCTGAACTGCCCCCCTACCCCAAAGAGAGGTACCTCCTAACAACTGCCCCACAGGGGCCTTGGGAGCAGCCCTGGCCAGCCCCTGAGGCAACATTCCCCAGGGGAGCTTCTAGCCAAGGCTGTGCAAGCCTTTGGGAGGCTGGGTCACAAGAGGGCATCAGAGGAGGGAGGGAAGGAAAGAGGGACAGAGGCCAGTCTTGTCCGTGGCACCCCTGACCATCATTCAAGACACCCCAGGATGTCACACTGGTTGAAAACCACTGGTTCCAGACATCTCTCTCTTACTCTGGTAGGAAGCATTAATCCAGAAGATTGTCAGGGTGGCCCATCAGTGTAAGGCCATGATAGGCACTGTTATGCCATCTAGATGTTTCTGGACTACAGCTTCCATCATCCTTGATAATAATGGTCTGTTGTGAGCCGGTGGGAGCTGTCACTAAGCAACATCTGGAGGGCTACAGATTGACTACCCCTAGTGCAAATAAGAGTGGGGAGTAGAAAAAGGCTCCATTTCTAGGGTGATATTGATCTGTCAGGGCTATGTCACGTATTAGAGACCACTGAGTCTAGAGCAGTTTCTACCTATGGCAAGGTGAATCACTTCCTGTCTCCCTTCACAGCATCATGTCAATTGATGTATGAGATTCCAGAAATGTAGAAGTCCAAGTTTATCCTGGGAATTCTAAAAGCCTGCAAGAGGCATAGATGCTGTGGAGTGGGGTGTCTGGCAGGGAGGAGTGCCAGATAGTGTCAGGCGTCTGCCTTCTCCCAGGAAGGTACAGCTTATTATCAGATAGGACTCTGCCTTTTCAGAAGTTTTCCAGTCTGATGCTGGCATCCACATACTGACTGATGGCCCTCTCCACAGCGGCCCTGGATCATTCTGCTTCATCTAATCCAACCTGCTGCAACTCATGACTGTCCCACATGAACTTGATAGATACCCAGATCTCCCAAATAAGCACAAAAATGGCTTGGGGCAGCTTCTCAAGTTCTTGTGTTCTTTTTCTTCTCTTCTCTCTGCACCCCAGAATAGCCTCAGAAGAGGTTCAGGGCCTCTTGGGAAGATAAGAGGACAGCTCTTTGGATGCAGGAGAAGAAGAGTAAGGGGACGTGTAGGCATTCAAGTGCTTGGAACTCATTCATAGTTTCTTTCATACACGTCATCCCTGTTCATTTACACCTCATATGCAACTACACTGGATATCAAGAATATAAATTATAAGAGACTCTCTTCTGTTATTTTGATCATTTCAGGTAACTTCCTTTCTTGAAAACGGATGGTGAAATTACCATGAAAACAATTCTACAGATTCTAAATACAGAAATGCCAAACTATACTGTAATTTACACTTTTCTCCGTATCAGCTGCTCTCTGTTATTCAGCTCAGGCCTCACCACAATAATGTAGCATTTAGGGGAAAAGATGCAACCCAGCAGCCCAGCACTGGAAGCCAAGATAGAGAAGATCTCCACAGCCACCATGTATTTTCCTTTTGTGCTCAAGTATGTGGGAATAAAGGAGAACCAAACACTGCAAAAGACCAGCATGCTGAAGGTGATGAACTTGGCTTCATTGAAGCTGTCCGGCAACTTCCGGGCTAAGAAGGCCACAGTGAAGCTGATAATGGCCAGGAAGCCCATGTAGCCTAAAACACCATAGAACATGAGAACTGACCCTTCGTTACATAAGAATATAATTTCTTCACTGCTTGAGTGCATGTCCACATCTGGGAATGGGGCAGAGGTTGCCAGCCAGAAGGCACAGATTCCTACTTGAATCACAGAGCAGGAAAGGACAATGGAGTAAGCCAGTTTTTTGCCCACCCACTTCCTGATTGTGGAATCTGGCTTGGTAGCCATGAATGCCAAAACCACTGAAATAGTCTTGGCCAAGATGCTAGAGAGGGCCACAGAGAAGACAATGCCAAAAGCCGTTTGTCGGAGTGGGCAGGTTGCCTTATTAGGCATTCCAATGAACATCAAGGAGCACAGGAAACACAAGAGGAGGGAGATGAGGAGAATGTAAGTGAGGCTTCTGTTATTGGCTTTGACGATGGCAGTGTCCCGGTGCTTAATGAAAAGGCCAAGTACCATAGCTGTGATCAGAGAGAATAAAAGCGCAGAGAAAGTTGAAACCATGGCCAAAGTTTCACCAAAGCCTAGGACGTTTGGTTTCTTGGGAATGCACTCATTCTGCTCTTCATTTGGATATTGATCCACAGGACATCTGGCACAGGTTTCCAACCCTGAAAAAAGGTTGCATGACAATTGATAACTATCCAGAACATGCTTAAGAGTGGTTTTCTTGAAAAAATCAGGAGACTCTTTACCATAGTGTTTCCATGAGGAAAAGTTTCAAAACTTCTAGTGCAAATGCTAGTGCCCTAGATGCTTTGAAGATAAAGTTATGCATGGAATTTAACATTTCCTATATGGAGAAACTATGTTTTTAGTGATCCTCTTCCATATTCTTAGAACAACAGGTACAGTGGTACCCCGCAAGACGAACGCCTCGCAAGACGGAAAACCCGCTAGACGAAAGGGTTTTCCGTTTTGGAGGCGCTTCGCAAAACGAATTTCCCTATGGGCTTGCTTCGCAAGACGACAGCCCATAGGGAAATCTCCGGGACAGCGGGGAAGCGCAGCGCGTCTTCCCCACTGTCCTCGGACCTCCTCCCGCCGCCGGACATCGGAACGAAGCTCCGATGTCCGGCGGGGGGGGGGGAACGTCTCCTCCCTCCAACGGACATCGGAACGAAGCTCCGATGTCCGGCGGGGGGGGAACGTCTCCTCCCTCCAACGGACATCGGAACGAAGCTCCGATGTCCGGCGGGGGGGGAACGTCTCCTCCCTCCAACGGACATCGGAACGAAGCTCCGATGTCCGGCGGGGGGGGGAACGTCTCCTCCCTCCAACGGACATCGGAACGAAGCTCCGATGTCCGGCGGGGGGGGGGGAACGTCTCCTCCCTCCAACGGACATCGGAACGAAGCTCCGATGTCCGGCGGGGGGGGGGGGAACGTCTCCTCCCTCCAACGGACATCGGAACGAAGCTCCGATGTCCGGCGGGGGGGGGAACGTCTCCTCCCTCCAACGGACATCGGAACGAAGCTCCGATGTCCGGCGGGGGGGGAACGTCTCCTCCCTCCAACGGACATCGGAACGAAGCTCCGATGTCCGGCGGGGGGGGCAACGTCTCCTCCCTCCAACGGACATCGGAACGAAGCTCCGATGTCCGGCGGGGGGGAACGTCTCCTCCCTCCAACGGACATCGGAACGAAAGCTCCGATGTCCGGCGGGGGGGAACGTCTCCTCCCTCCAACGGACTTAGGAACGAAGCTCCGATGTCCGGCGGGGGGGAACGTCTCCTCCCTCCAACGGACATCGGAACGAAGCTCCAATGTCCGGCGGGGGGGGGGACGTCTCCTCCCTCCAACGGACATCGGAACGAAGCTCCGATGTCCGGCGGGGGGGGGGAACGTCTCCTCCCTCCAACGGACATCGGAACGAAGCTCCGATGTCCGGCGGGGGGGGGGGAAACGTCTCCTCCCTCCAACGGACATCGGAACGAAGCTCCGATGTCCGGCGGGGGGGGAACGTCTCCTCCCTCCAACGGACATCGGAACGAAGCTCCGATGTCCGGCGGGTGGGGGGGAACGTCTCCTCCCTCCAACGGACATCGGAACGAAGCTCCAATGCCGGGCGGGGGGGGGAACGCCTCCTCCCGCAGCCCGGCATCGGATGGCTGTCCTGAAGACTTGGGGTGGGAGGAGGGTTTTCCTTCCCACCGCCAACATTCAGAATGCTGTTCTGAATGTTGGCGGTGGGGAGGAAAAACCCTCCTCCCACGCAAGCCCCGGGAACAGAGGAGAAGCGCTGCGCGCCTTCCCCTCTGTTCCCGTACCTGTCCTGAAGGCTTGCGGTGCGGAGAAAAGCCCTTCTCCGCACCGCCAGCCTGGCAAGCGGTTTCCCTAGGAACGCATTAATTGATTTTCAATGCATTCCTATGGGAAACCGTGCTTCGCAAGACGAAAAACTCGCAAGAAGAAAGAACTTGCGGAACGAATTAATTTCGTCTTGCGAGGCACCACTGTACTGCATAATGAAATCAGAGAAATATTACAGCTGAAATCTTGGAAGCAAGAGGGGTGATTTTTATAGGATTTTAACCCTGTCCCCAAAATCCTTGTTCTTAGAGAAAAGACAATCACTCCTATTACCTCCTCCCCCCTAAAATTTTTAGTGCTGTCTTCAGGACAAAACAATCTTGGGGTGGAGCTACACTAGTGATTTATAACGGTAAAATGCATTATTAAAATGTGACACCACAGCAGTGAGCCACTGGCAATGGGATACTGCATTAAACATCATGGAACGTTATATTTAATAACGTTTCAAAGATCAATATAGATAAAGTGATGGAAAATCTTTACATTACAGGTAAAGTCACATTTTCATGTTATACCCACTAGAAAGCTAATATAATTTCTTCATACTGGCAGCTTTTACTGAGACAGCAGGGAGATTATTGTTAATAGTAGAATAAAACAGAGCAAATCCCATTGCCGATTTGCTCAGAAGTTTCTAAAATGACTTTTATATGCTAATATGGCATATAAAAAAATATAATATGGCATATCTCTCACCCTTCTCATCTGAGAACATCCCACGAGGACATGGATCACAATCATAACAACAAAACTTCTTCCCCTCCTTCTTTTTCTTCTCATAACCAGGATGGCAGTTGGCATTACATAAGGAAAGGGGTGGCACCTATCCAAAGGGACACGGAGGGGTTAATATTAAGAAAATGTTTTAGGGGATTCAGGTAACATCAGGTGATCTATAAGTAAACAGGAGGGTCAGAAATGTTAAATGTAGGAACCATATGTGCCGAGGCAGCACATGTTGTTTAGTCGTTTAGTCATGTCTGACTTTTCGTGACCCCATGGACCAGAGCACGCCAGGCACTTCTGTCTTCCACTGCCTCACACAGTTTGGTCAAACTCATGTTGGTAGCTTCGAGAACACTGTCCAGCCATCTTGTCCTCTGTCGCCCCCTTCTTCTTGTGCCCTCAATCTTTCCCAACATCAGGGTCTTTTCCAGGGAGTCTTCTTTTCTCATGAGGTGGCCAAAGTATTGGAGCCTCAGCTTCAGGATCTGTCCTTCCAGTGAGCACTCAGGGCTGATTTCCTTAAGAATGGATAGGTTTGATCTTCTTGCAGTCCATGGGACTCTCAAGAGTCTCCTCCAGCACCATAATTCAAAAGCATCAATTATTTGCCTATTAGCCTTCTTTGTGGTCCAGCTCTCACTTCCATACATCACTACTGGGAAAACCATAGCTTTAACTATACGGACCTTTGTTGGCAAGGTGATGTCTCTGCTTTTTAAGATGCTGTAGGTTTGCTTTTCTCCCAAGAAGAAGGCGTCTTTTAATTTCGTGACTGCTGTCACCATCTGCAGTGACCATGGAGCCCAAGAAAGTAAAATCTCTCACTGCCTCCATTTCTTCCCCTTCTGTTTCCCAGGAGGTGATGGGACCAGTGGCCATGATCTTCGTTTTTTTGATGTTGAGCTTCAGACCATATTTTGCGCTATGTACATCCCTGCTTCTATCGTTCCAACTCAACACTAGAGTCTCAAGCAGCATCAGAAAAAAACTAGAAGATTACAATGTTCATTCACAATGATACAGTCAGCTTAGCATTCTATCTAATGCTACTAACTGGAAAGCTACCAACAAACAAGCATGTTGGACAACACTCTCTGATAGCCATTGGTCCTTCTTGGTGTGACATGTCTTCTGTGCATATTGCTCTTTCTGGTGATGTGGTTCATTTGTTTATTTATTAATAAAATTATTAGGAGCAGCATTATTAGTAGTGGCAGCAGTAGTTGGGCAGCACTTCCCTTTTCACCTCATGTGGCAAAACTACATGCTCTCCCACCTGTGTGCAGTGATTTCCTTACCTGAGTGAAGACTCTGTGCCATTGGATTCTGTCCCCATTAATGGTGAGCTCTTTGCCAGGAGGGGCCTGAGGATCCAGCTTCCCAACTTTGATCCTGACATATGAATTATTTGGGAAAGTGACCAGGTTTGTAATATCAAATCCACCTGCTAATTCCCCATGTTCATTGAATGTAATTTCATCCCCAGCACTGTTGTTGAATGCGAGCCTCTGCAGGAATGAGTGCAGCTAGGTGGAAAGAGAATCAAAAGGTCTATGAAGTGTTGTAATAGTGTTACTAAGATAATTTATGGGGTCATGAAGAGTCGGGTACAACTAGACAACTGAAGAACAACAACAAAATAATTCAATAGTTTTCCTGGGAGAATTTAAGATCTTTTCCTGGCTCTGTTTGTTTGAGTTACCATGGAAGCCAGACATTTTTATGCATATTATCTGATGATAAGAAACTACAGAAAGCCACAAGCACTGGCACCATCTCTCTGGGGCTCTGAGTTCCCAGGCACCCACAAAATTTTCAATGAGGGGGCCATGCTGGAAGGGCTCTGGCAGGCCCTCCTGCTGCTGTGATGGGCTCCATCGCTGCCACCTGCTGCAGCAGTGGGCTCCTACGGAGCAATGGGTGGGGTTGATGGAGCCCCTTACAATCTCTGAAGGCCATTGGGAGATGCCCTAGAGAGCCCTCTGAATGGCTGGGGCTCCTGCCAGTGTGTGACATCACATGCAGCGCATGACATCACATATGCACACCAGACACCCACAATGTGGGGCAGAACATGGTGCACTTGGCCACAATGGTCATTTCAGGCTGCTTGAGATACACTACATGTGGCCAATTTATGCCATTAACCTCATACAAGAAAGTTTCTAATTCAGTGGTTCCCTATTAGAAGAAGAAGAAGAGTTTGGATTTGATATCCCGCCTTTCACTCCCCTTCAGGAGTCTCAAAGCGGCTAACATTCTCCTTTCCCTTCCTCCCCCACAACACACACTCTGTGAGGTGAGTGGGGCTGAGAGACTTCAAAGAAGTGTGACTGGCGCAAGGTCACCCAGCAGCTGCATGTGGAGGAGCGGAGACGCGAACCCGGTTCCCCAGATTACATGAGTACCGCTCTTAACCACTACACCACACTGGCTCTGGGGCCTGGGGCACCATCCCAGCACCATCCCCTGCCAGGGTACTCACTTATCTTGTTAATTACACAGGGTAAACCTTCCAACCTCTGCTTGCAACCAATACCTGCTTGGTGGCAAGGGAAAAACTTGTGAAAGAGTCTCTGGATAGCAAGTGAGGTGGGACTGGGAGGAAAACCTCTGACACAGTTTCTTAGGGCTCTTGCAATTGGTGGGATGTGGGGTAGGGAGAGAGCGCAAATGGCTTTCTGCACAGGGTGGGTTCACATGCTTATCCTAAATATATATATATATGTGTGTGTGTGTAGGGATCCCTTCCTCTTGCTCTCTACATTTTAACTGAAAAGAACTTCTAATCGCTTTTAATGATTATCAAGTTTAAAGGACTATTCCACTGCCTGTAAGGAGGGTTTTCAGTGAATCTTGACTTATGAGTTGGGGATTCATCTCATCTTGGAAGTCCAAAAAGGGTTTAATGTGTTTTTAACATTTTGTTGGAAGCTGCCCAGAGTGGCTGAGGCAACTGAGCCGGACGGGTGGCGCACATATAAAAACATAATAAAATATCATACATTAAAAACTTCCCAATACAAGGCATTGGCAGGGTGTCAGATCACTCTTTTCCCTAGACTGAGAGAATGGTGAAAAGAAATAAAGTGAAAAAATAAATTGGGATAAAGTGACATTTGCAGCTATCGTCAAAAGTTGCAAAAACAAAGAAGCACGGGACTGAGTGAGGGACAAACTTTTGGAATAACATCAGGATATCAGCTACGTGCAAGGCATGACAGATAGCAGTAACAACCGGTAAAAATAGACATAATGTTTTATAAGGACAGGAAGAAACAACATGGACATATTAAATGTCACATACAGGAAGAATAAGGATGCATGAGAACTTTACTTGTAGACTAATAAATCACTAAATGTGTTAATATGAATAGAAGTTATCAGTATTGCAGCTGTTGTATAAGGGATTACTATTATGACTGGAATATAATTGAAATTAATAAGATTTTGGAACGCAGAAGTAAAGTAAATTGTCAAAGCATCAATTCTAACACACAGAGGGCCACCTAAATTATGTATTTGTGTATTTGAATTGATATTAGGAATTGTGTTGTAATTTGGCATTGATATAATGAGGCTATTATTGGATCATTGTAGTTGAAAACTAATTTAAAAAATTACAAAAAAAAACCTTATTGATACAGGGCTGCATTCAGATGTCTTCTAAAAGCTTTGTAGTTCTTTATTTCCTTGACATCTGAAGGGAGGGTGTTCCACAGGGAGGGTGTCACTACCAAGAAGGCCCTCTGTCTGGTTCCTGGTTTGACAGATATATCCATAAATAGATAGATAGAGATAAAGACAGATATAGGTTTGGAAGCTGCTGGAAACGTCGTAATTTGTTCATTTGTACTAAAATAAAATAAAATTTGTCTCCGCTCCAACTAAATCTTTGTCATTTTTGCATGGTAAAATCACAGATTTTATGATCTATTTTCCAGTATACTTAAAATCCTTTGCTTATTCTGGGCTACCCCACATTTTCTCCAAAAAAATCACTTTGCAGTTATCAAAATTTTCAAAAGCAGGGGTCCATGGCTTAGCTTTTGAAAAACAGAGGGTCCTCAGTAATTAGCTAATTCGGAACCACTGGTCTAATTAAATGCCAGCTGAAATACTGGAACAGTGCCAGTTCTAAATGTTTAAATTTTTAGGAAAAAAATCAACTTGTCAAGTAGTTGCTGCTAGTGTGTCACTTATGAAAGCCTGTGTAATCTAATGTCTGCTTAATATCATTATAGGAAATGTTCGGTAGATTTATTGTTTTATTGTTCGGCGCCCAGCCACGCTTCCCCTGGGAGCCTCTGTAGCTTCTGTTTACGCAGTGTGGCTTTCGAGCGGTCGTAAAGCAATTAGCAGAATTACACAGCATCACTGTGTCGAAAAAGCAGTGAACAAGTCCCACACGTTTCTTCTGTCCTAATATCCCTTTATTTGCTCAAAGGTAGCATATTTACAATCGATAACAGCCATCAGATTCAAGCTGCATCTTCTCCCTCTGTTTGCAGCTACGCAACAAAAACTGCTATCGTTTTTCACTCAGCTCACAGCATTCCAAAGCTGCTTTCATCACGTCCTGGCGTACTTCCCTTGTACGCGCCTCCTCTCAGGCTTGAGGCACAGAAGGTTAACCCTACACTACACCTCTTGCCTCGCGCCTGAGGGGAGAATCGACCCTTGGTTGTCCCAAACCCGGACCTTCACAAAACTCCCCATGTCTTTGGAAGGTGAGTGGCTTCGTGAACCCATCAGCTAGGTTCTTGGCAGAGGGACAATACTTCAGCGCAACTAATCCCTCCTGAACACTCTGGCACACATTCCGAAAGCAAATGTCTAGGTGTTTAGTTCTAGCCTTGAACTGACCTGACTCTGCCAAACGCAGGCATGGTTGATTGTCCTTGAAAACACGTATCTGTAGGCAATCCACTTTGCAGAGTTCCTGCACTAAGCAAGCATAGAACTCTACTTCTCTGCACACCTCTGAAAGAGCACTGAACTCAGCCTCAGTGGATGAGAGCGCTATAAGACTTTGCTTCTTGGACCTCCATCCAACTACTGAGTTCCCAAACTTCACCACTAGGCCAGACACAGACTTGCGATCCTCAAGATTAGCCCAATCCAAGTCCACAAAGCAAGTCAGTTTGACTTCTCCTTGTGCTGGCAACCTAAGACAAAAGTCTTTGGTCTCCTGCAAATACCTCAGAACTCTCTTGATGCCATTCCAGGCTTGCACACTAGGGTTTGAAGCTTCCCTGCTGAGCAGATTGACAG